ATATCAAACTAAAGCATGATTGACCATTTTAAATTGAATGAATATTGCCAAAACATACTTAAGATTTTATTATGATAGTAATTCTTAGTTTAACTTTTGATTCTAAGATAGAATATTTTGCTACAACATTAGTTCTCACCTTCTATGTTATTTTAAATCGTGTGATATTGGAATATAAATTATAATGCTCTAATAAGTTGAACAACTTAATTCTAAAATAAATCTCAATTTCAAAAATATAAAGCATAATTTAGGATAATTAGAGTGATATCGAGCTTCTCAATATCCTAACGCTTCTTGCCTCTCCTTCATAGGCATAAAAAAAAATCAAGTTCAATTTTTTGTGCTTGAAATTCTGAAATAAAAATTTTGAATAATTAACTTTGGAATTCATGTACACAAGACATGAGGCACTACCTTTATCAGAAGTATTCTTAAGAGACAAGATATTCTAAGATGTAATTAACTGTAGAGGTTTCCTCTTATAAGGATAAAACTTCTCTTACCTAAACTATATAGCGAAAAAACTGCTGGTCCACATAGCTCCAAAAATTTAAAAATTTTATTTAGTGAAATAAAGCATTATTCTTAAAGTTGCATTCGATCATTTAAATAAAAAAACTTTAAAATTTGTGTGTTGTATTCTTTAGAGATAACATTTCTTTTTTCTTTCTATGCTTAAAAAAATCATATAGGTAAAGTCCAACATTTTGATAAGCCAAGGGCTCAAGCCATGTGTTTCATGAATTTGTTCAAAGAACTCTTTACAAGGTTATGACACAACAAAAAAAATTTAAAGAAATATAATTTTGTAGAAGTAATGATTTGTTCATTTATTTTTGGCCAATGCAAAAATTGAAGGAGGTCCTTACAAGGTTAATTAAGTATGTTTCTCTTAGGCTAATGTAAGGACCACCTATTGACCAAAGCTAAGCATAATGTATTTCACCTGGTTCAAAAATAAAGTCAATACTTAGAAATTTATTGTGAATGACACAACATTATTCATTATAAAATCTTGATCTAATTTTTTATTAATTAATTTTATTTTGGTGTCTTTATTTGAGCCACAAATTAATTAATGTACCTAATTCTCTCAAAAAAATGAGTTGTGAATTTGAAATGAACATATTGGAAGAGTTGACATATTTCTTACATTTTCAAGTAAAGCAAGCGAAAATGAGATATTTTTATACGAAAATAAAAAAATAAAAAAATTAATCCAAAAATAGAACATGGAAATAGATAAGAGCATATGTGTTCCCACAAGCCAAAATAAGTAGGAATAGAAGGATCCTAATGGAAAATATATAATCATAAAGCTTTATAGAAGTACAACTGAATTTTTGTTATATGTATAGTATGTCTTGCCTTATGACTAGTGTCTACTTATGTATACACCTTCAAGCAAAAGAAGTGCATATGATGTTAGTGAAGAGCATCAATAAGTTTTTGATTGGCACTGTAACCTTAAATATACAATACCATCAATTTATTGTCATATTGGCTACTCCAAACATGTAGGATTGATAAAAAAAAAGTGTACAATTAGACTATGAGAATTAGTAAGACACTCTTTAATAATGTTATCTATTGGAAATAAAATTTTGTTGCTTTATTTACTCCAAAAATGGAATAAATAGCAATAAAGTGCTTTGTGCTCATGTCTAATAACTTAAGCAACAATTTAATGATTTTAGAATTCAATTGATAAGAAACCTGTCATGTGCAACAACTTTATTGTTATTTGGGCTATAAAAAAAAATCTCATGCAACACATTAAAACAAAACAAATTGATGAATCTCTTTATCTTATTAGATATTGTATGTTCAAAGCCTATGAGAAAATTTATCATAAACATAGTTAGTTGATAGATTTATTCATAGAGGCTATAAATCATGAAAAGTTTGTCGTTATAACAATGAGGTCAAGTTTCATAAATATATGCATTTGATACACTAAAAATATATGCATTTTTACACTCATATTTTATACTCATTTTTGGTGATATTACACTTTAAAAGAAGGTATTTTTCATGTTTTATTGTAGGATGTTGATTTTTAAGACTTGGAGCAAAAATGAAGCAAAAAAGAATGAAATTTGGAGTTAAAATGGAGTTTTTGAAGAATTATTCAGCGCCAACGGCGCCATTTGACAGAGAGAGCGGTATAATTAAATGGCCACTGGCGTCGACGACGACAGTGTCAATGCAGGCCCTATTTCTTAAAGATTTGACGAATTTCAAAATGGAGTTTTTGAAGAATTATTCAGCGCCAACGACGCCATTTGACAAAGAGAGCGGTATAATTAAATGGCCACTGGCGCCGACGATGACAGTGTCGATGCAGGCCCTATTTCTTAAAGATTTGACGAAATTCGACGCTTTTTGAAGAGGTTTTGGATGACTCTTTTTGAAGAGTTTTTGGATTCACCTATTGGAAAACCAACCTTAAGCTCTATTTAGAGCCGAAATTGATCAGAAAGAGCCCACTTCGCGCCCCTTCATACCTTTCAACCACTTTCCACTCTCTTCCACACTATTCCACATTCCATATAGCCACTTAGAGTCCATTAGTTATTTATTTTCTTTATAGTTTTTAATTTTTGTGGTGAGTTTAAGTGTGAATTCTTCTCTAAGAGTGTTAGAGAGAAGTGTGAGATTTCTTCTTCCTACATTTCCTAAGAGAGACTACAAAGGATTTGCTTTAAGAAAGAGTTTCAGATAAGTGTTGTTCCTTTATTATTGTTGTATGAACTTTCTTTCATATATGAAATTTGTGTTTTGTTGTATCTTTCTCATGAAGTCTGAGTAGTTTCCTTTATCTTTCTCCCTACTCTGAGATATGGTGAAATGAAGAGATAATTTGGAAGTGCCAATGTTAAAATATAAAATAAATTGTGATGGTTTTTCAACTCCGTTCTTAATTTACTTTTCGATCTGGCCAATTGAATTGTCAAAATATGTTGTGAAACATATGATCCAAAAAATGGAGTACGAGTTCTACAACATAGTGAGAATCACATTTAATTCCATGGAGGAGTTTTTTATCATGGAATTAAGTGGAAATAAATAGAAAAATAAACATTGTTGGACGTAGAATTGGAGGTTTTA